GCCGCGCGAGCAGCTGCGGGCATCAGCGGTCCCGCCGGCTCCCGGTTCGCTCAGCAGCCCGGGCCGGCAGCTCCCCCGGCGGCCGCCTCTGCACCACTAGCCAACCTCCACGCCGGGCGGAGGTCATGCCCGCCTGCCCCCGGCGCCCGGGCTGCCCCCTCCTCCTGTAAGCTGAACACCCGGGAGCCGCGCTGGGGAAGGGGCCCCGCGGTGGAGTTGGCACGGGGACTCACCAGGTAGGCGCCCACCGTGCCCTGCGCCAGCATCAGGGCGCACTCGGACACGAGGAAGATCTTGATGTTGGAGAAGCAGGACACCTTCTTTTTCTTCTTCTTGTTTCTCTGCGCCTCGTCCCCCTGCAGCTCGCCGCTCCGGCCGCCGCCCGACGAGCCGCCCGGCTTCTTCCCCTGCATCCTTCCACCGCCGCCGCCGCCGCCGCTTTCCCGCTTGCCCCGGGTGTCGGGGCCGATGCCGGGCGGAGGTGCGCGCGGCGAGGCTGCGTGCTCTCCCCGCCCCGGGCCCGCGGCGGCCACCCCAGTCCTGCCGGGGCTGGAAAGGTGGAAGGCACGGCTCCTCGCAGCCGCCGCCGCCGCGCTCGCCCCCTTCCTCCTCCTCCTCCTCCTCCTCCGCCCTCCCCTCGCCTCCTCCTCCGGCTAGGGCTGTGCCAATCACAGGGGCTCCTCGCGCCGCCCGCCGCCGCCGCCGCCTCGCCGCCGGCGGCTGCCCGCCGTTGCCCTCGCCCAGTTCCCGTCGCCCGCGGGCCGCGCCTGCCCTCGCCTCCTCTTCTTCTACCGCGAGGCCCGGGCCTCGATCGCCGCTGCGCGCCCCCGCCGCGCCGCTCCTCGCCGCCCGTGCGCCCCGGGGCAGGTGCGAGGGTACCGGCCTGGGGCGCCAAGCTCTGCCCCTTGGCCGAGGCTGGAAGCGTCCCGCTGCCCGAAGGACTCGGCAGAGGAGGAGTCCCTGCGGAGTAAGGGAGGGGGTGCCCCAGAGGGAGGAAGGCCGTACCCAGTCCCTAGATGGCGCTGCGGGGCTCGGGGCGCCGCCTTGGACACTGGGTGGTATTGCAGGAGGAACTCCGGCCGTGGAGATGGGGTGCGGAGGCGCCCCCGCGGGGCGGGGACCTAGAGCTCCGGCGTCGGGGCGCTAGACCCGAGGGGAGGAGCGGTTTCTAGGAAGAGAGAGAAGACTGAAGTGCCCAGGAAAGTGTTGGCGCGCTCCCTTCCCCTCCGCCCGGGTATTTCTGGGGACGGATGTTGCGCTCTGGGGCTTGGGGAGGTGCCAGAGGTCAGAGCTGCTCGAGGCTTCTACAGCCTGCTGGCCTCTGCTCCTGCTCTCCTAGGCCTCTGGGTGTGCCTAAAAGGCCCCAGACCAAAAGGAAAGTTCCATTAACCCGTCGGGAGCCGTACACAGTATCAGGTGCCCCCAGCCACGGTGTCTAGGTGGCTGCAGGGTCGCAGCGACCCCAGCAGAGGGCCTTGTGCAGCCCGCCATCTGCCTGGAGGCCATCCTCAAAAATGATGTAGCCGCGCGGTTGGAGCCAGCAGGAAGAGATTAGCCACAGGCCTGCCTTGGTCCCCACCTCCCCCTTAGCTTTGTGGCCCGGGCCACCTTCCTTGGCCTTGGCCTGAATGCCCAGGCCCCGTGGCAGCCGCTCTTTATAATCATTACCAGGAGTTTGTGCCACAAGGCACTACCAACAGGATCTGCTAGTCCGCAGACAGCTTTCGGAAGCTCAGAGAAGCCTGGAAAGGACTGGACAAGTACCAGGAAGCACTCAGCATCTTCCACCTGGTCCAGTGGGGGCTCAACCAATCATTTGAAAAGCCTTTCCTTAATAGTCATGTTTAAGAAAATGATCCACTCTCCTAGGCGCCTGTGTACCAAGGCAGGCTTAAATCTGAAATTGAAGAGTAATTAACACTTTCATAATTTTTGCTTACTCCCAAAGAATTTGAACGAGAACGGATAGTGTAATGGTAGGGGGTGTTGTCTTGCTGTACCATCTAAATATAAACTGCTGCATCCTCCTGTGGTTCCACACATGATCTCACCTAGGCTTGGTGTCCCTTTCAGATGCTCCCCTCCCCTTGTCTGGGCTGTCTTCTATATGAATTGGCTTCCACCACAGAGGTCTTTCTCCATTTTCCCCAATTCCTGTCATTATCGGCTATACCATTCCCCAAGAGTTTATCACCTTACTGCAGCCCCTCCCTTACTCCCTACACCTTCCCCTCACTCACAGCCAACTTTTCTATGGGATCTTTCCTCTTATGCCCTTGGTCCTCTCCATCACTCTGGCATCATGAGAGCGCCTCATCACTTTTTCCTGAGAAGACCCTTGATGAGCTAGCTCCCTTCCCTGCCTCCAAAACTGTGAGCTACAAAGCTGAGCTAAGACTGTTCACTTGTTTCTGAACAGTGGTCCTGTCGCTATTGAAATAGCTTCCAAAGTGCGTTATAGTCTTCGAGTCTTATTTACATACTTTGTTATAACAAGAGCTAATGTTTGTTGTGTGCTGACTCTGGCCAAGCACCGTTTGTTCTAAGTGCTTCACCCACATTTACAACTTAACCCATACAACCATCCTCTAAACTAGACACTCTTATTAGCCCTGTTTTACAAATAAGAAACCAGGCCCAAACATGTTAACTAAACTTACCAATGTCACACATATCCAGTAAATGGCAGGGCCAGCCTTTGAAACCAAGGTATCTGCTATCACAGCCCCAGTTCTGAACTCCCTATATATTATCTTGCTTATCACCCAGCGGTCTGTCTCTTGGGGAGGATGGGACTCATATTGTTCCTATTTTATAAATGGAGACTCAGAGATGTAGAATGACTAGCCCGGTGTCACACAGCTCAAAAGGGACAGGACCTGGATGCAAGTCCAGCTCTCTTTGTCTATACTACATTGCCTCAGGTACAGACCAAAAGGGGAACAAGCTTTTCTCAGCTTCAACCATTTATTTCACGTAAAATTCAACTGTCTTTAGAGAACTCAAACCCTTTTGCTGTCGGAGAGAGGATTCTGGATTAGGGTTGTAGATTCCTCCTATAATTTATGGTACACAGCCATGAAAATAATTCAGTGCCTGAAGCCATAAGAATAATCAAGGTCGGCCTGAAGGCAACCAGGCATTAGCCTCATGACAGTCAGAAAGAAGGAATTTAACAGGTTCAATTCTCTTCCTTCCTGCTCGTCCTTTGTTTACCTGTACATGAGGGTTCCAGGAATAACGAGCTGGGTTTACAAGGCAGCAGGTGCTTCTGCCTGGCTCCTCTCCTGTGCAGACAGAGGCAGCAGCAGCAGAAAAATAGTAACTGTCTTCATATCTGTACAACACGTGACTGCTGATAGAGTGCTCTGATGTCCTGTGTCTCACTCAAATCTCACAACAGGGAGAGCAGATCTTATTAACCCCATTTTACTCATATATAAAGAGCAAAAAAACAAAAACAAAAAAAAATAATAAATAAATAAATAAAGAGCAGCAAGTGGCTTTTGGAGGTCACAGCTAGCTAGTGTCAGGAATTAAAACCTGCATTTTCCACCCCAAACTGGGGGAGCACCTAGGAGAAGGAGGAAGGAGATGAAGAAAGAGTTTAGGCCTCCCATGATCTGGGTGCCCCCTCCAACCAGTCTGAAATGGACAGTTGACGATCATGTGATGAGCAAGGCCAACACGAGCTTAAACCCCACCCACAACTGGGTGACCTTGAATGTTGCCTTGGAGAATTGGTTTAGCCACCATTTCTAGGCTGGAACCTTTTTCATTCCTCTATCCCTCTAGTGGTGGACGATGGGTTTAGAACTGGTCAGTATGAATGACTGTAGAACCCTTGGGATTATTTTAGTCTCTCAACTACTTTTCTGGGCTAGGTGACTTTTCTAAGTTAGATGAAAATATTGCTAACTGAGGCTCTGGTTCCATGAGCCCTTACTTTGCTGACTATTAGAAGTATTCCAAACATTGAGATGCTGCAATGTACTCAGGAAATCTGAAGCATAAAGAAGATTGGGTGACATGGGAAGATAAACTGGCTTTTGATCCTAAAATATTAATAAACTCTATGTATATGCTTAGTGATTAAGATTTGGAGAGCTTTCCTCCCTTACTTTAAAAAGGACCATCAATTCGTTTCTGTAGGAGAGAAGTGGGTTAACTTCATGGACGTGGAAAAAAAAAAATGACAATGTCTTCCACTGTTACTGGGCTGTGTCAGGATTTCACAGCAAGCAGCCTCAATGTAATTCCACACAAGGAGAAACTGTTGTCCAAGTAATTCACATGAACCATCTTTTGCCAGCTTCCGTTTTGTTCACAGGCAAATACAAAGTTGAAAAATAAATGCAAAGAATGATTTCTGATTGTCACTGGAGTGCAAAATAGATGCTTAGATCCTCACCCTATGGATGGATTTTTCTTTTCTTTTTCTGAAAATACACCAATCATGTATTGTGTTCAACCAAGGATAGAATTGGGGCTGGGCTAACTTCTCTGGCTTGAAACTAATATTTGGGCTGAGTTGAAGCTTATTTCCTCTTCCTCAGGGTTTTTCTTCCCCCCGCCCACCTCCACTTTCCAATTAGCCTGATCCATATGCCTTTCTACCATATAGCTTGCATTTGCTGCTTTCTATAATCTTAGTTCTATATTTTTAATTATATGTCTTAATTTGAATATATCCTAAAACTCAGCAAAGAAGTTAAAAGGATAAACATCAATTTGGATGCAATTTAAAAAAGGATGAATCCAAAATCCAAGTGGAGAAACAGAAGGAAAAGAACTAATGAAAATTGAAGAATAGGTATGAGAAAACTTGGTTTTTAGAAATGTGTTATATTTATGGGAAATGAGTTTTGAGATAAAGGAGAAGGAGTAAGACAAACACGTACCAATATTAGTGTATTTGGGTAGCTCATCATTTGCTACAGTCTATTGATATTTATGTAAATAGAATGTGTTTATCCAAATAGACTGCTAGCTTCTTAAGGGTAGAGAGAGTATCTTACTTTAAAAATAAAGGAGCATTTGTCCTGCTCAGGGTCTAACAGGCCTCCTGCCAAGAAGCTTGGTACTTCTGATTAGGACAGGAAAACGACCCAGAAGGGGTCCAGGTTCATAGAAAACTTCCTTCCAGGCACTTTCCCCAGGGACCCACTTCTCCACCCCAGCAGCAACTGTGCACACCCTTCTTGCAGCAGGCCTTGTCCCCGTCAGCCCCTTTCACTGACATCATGCTTTTACTTTTCTCTCTCAGAAAAAGGGAAGATCCCAGCTTTGCTCCCAGTCTCTGAAAAATGCACTCCAACCTTTGTATTTTAAGGATGGGTACTGACAGCAACTGTGGGCACATGAAATTAGCCAGCACTGAAAGTGTTTGGGGGGCCCCAGAGCATCTCCAGCCAAGGAAGGTGGAGACTTAGAGGTTAATATCATGTCAAGAGTTTCATGGGTTCCAAGCCTGGCAGAAAGTGGCCATAGCTGTCCGCCTTCCTGAGGGGAAGTGGGCTCCAGGCCTGTGTACCCTCGGCAGGCACGGTGCAATGAATGCATTAACTCTCTGATTGATCTAAAAGATAAGGAG